GGGTATAGGTTGCAAGACCACTGAAATTTTCTACTAGCAGATATGGAAGTATTTAGGAGCATGCTGGAAGTAACTTTTTGAGTCTCTTTTGAAATAGGGACATGAAAAGAGCCATGGCAAGCTAATGAACATCCCAGTCTTATGATGGGCCAGAACCACCCTTTGTTGGGAGACTATTGGAATGCAGTTCAACATATCTACAGAATACTAGGTAGGAGAAATTGTCATTATGCAAACTGAAACAGGAAACAGACAGTAAAGAAAGATGGAATATAAAATGTTTTGCATATAAATCTCATATTATTAACAAAAAAGCTTTATAAATGAATGTATAAACCTTAGATGACAACAGCAAATACTTATTTCAAGCAAAAGGATGAAAACAAAGTTGTCTAATAGAAGTGTGTAGCATCAGCACATTTGTATGTGATTATACTTGAGTAGATCTGCATATATCTCTTTAATAATAATAATAATAATAATAATAATAATAATAATAATAATAATAATAATAATAATAATAATAATAGTAAAGTTGGAAGGGACCTTGAAGGTCATCTAGTCCAACCCCCTGCTCAGGCAGGAAACCCTATACCATTTCGGACAAATGGCTGTCCAGTCTCTTCTTAAAAACTTCCAGTGTTGGAGCATTCACCGNTATGGCAACCCCTGAGATATTGGAACACTGCTATCATGTTCCCCCTCGTCCTTCTCTTCATTAAACTAGACATACCCAATTCCAGCAGCCGTTCCTTATATGCTTTAGCCTCCAGTCCCCTAATCATCTTTGTTGCTCTTCTCTGTACTCTTTCTAAAGTCTCAACATCTTTTTTACATCGCGGTGACCAAAACTGGATCCAGTATTCCAAGTACTGCATCCAGTTTTATATTAGGAAATATCTGGGAGGAATACTTCCTCCCAGATATTTCCTAATATAGATTTACAACCAAAGTTGTCTTTCCAACTATATTAGTCTAATGTAAAAGTTTGGTAGAAGTTCTAACCTGAATTACAATCTTTTAGACGTTATAAAATCCTTGCTTGTTGATAAATGAATAAAGAATTGGTATTTGGCAGCCCAATCAGTCAATAGTCTATTCTACTTAGCAAGACAATTTTAACCCCAGATTGCTGCCTATAGAGGTTTATAGTTCAACAGAAAAGAGCTTGAAAAGATGAGTTCTTTGAAATACAGAGGTTTCCCTGAAATCTTTGGAAGGCAGAAAAATGGACTGGAAATTAAAAACATCCCCCTGCCATCAGTCCCCCTACAAGACGTTACCCTTAGTAATATGGAGCTGGTTCAAAAAACCCGCATCCCTTTTGCTTTTAAAGAGTACAGTGAAATTACGGTACAGTGAAATTGGAACCCACCTCCCACACCAACTGGCATGAGGTAAAAAACAATAACAACAATATTGATGCTACGAGATTATTTCAAGAAAGATATTGTAGTTCTGTAATGTCAGAGCCCAAATTCCTACTTATAATCTTCCCTTTGATATACACTGAGAAAAAGCATCAACAAATAGCAGAAAGTATGACCTGAGGCCAAAGGTTGGCTACCAGCATCTTTTCTGTGGCCTCCTACAGAAAACACTAGAAAACGTCTCCCCAAATGACTCCTAACTTGGCCTACTTTTGGAAAGCAGCCCTCAAACTAACAGAAGCTGCACATCTCCACGCATATTTTTTTCTCAGAGTTTTGATATGCCACGAACTGTCTATGAGTTTCTTCTCCAGCCTCTGCAATCTAGCAGCAGTTTCCCTTGTTTGTCATCTTGTTTATATGCTGCTCAGAACCATATGATGCCAGAAATAAGCTAAGGTGTTTAGTGACATCTTTCATTTACATGTTCCAGAAAAACCATCTGTTCTTTAAAAATAGGTGTTCCAGCCAAAACAACTACCCTTCTTTCCTGCATTCTTTCACAGTGTACCCACATACAATAAAAATAACCTTTCCCCCCCCCTGTAAATCAGCTCACTATACATGCTGCTTAATTTCGGAAAGAAGAAATGCAGACAGTTTTCTTGTTTTATAATAAAGGTAGGGAGAGCCATAGAAAATTTCAGCTTACACACATTTCCTTGATATTCCTTGAGTATAAATAAAGTAGGATTTACCGTGGCTGGAAAGAACCTAAAATCTAATGAGGCTCTTACTCTCTCATTTAAAAGCATGAAAATATGAATCATATCAAGAGCCTTCTTAGATCAACCTTTTGTTTCTCACAGTGGCCAATTAGATGCTTCTGGAGTATTTACAGGCAGGTGGTGGTGACATATTCCTGACACACAATTATTTTCCTGGAATGGAAACACTACTCCCAACCTGAAGATAACTTTGAGTCTTCAGGCCACAATTGACGGATCTGTTTTCCATGAATATATCCTGTCCTTTTTTGAAGCCCTGTAAGATAATGGCCACCAACACTGTGTAGAATGAATTCTATGAGTTTTATGAACAAATACTTTTGGATGCCCTAAATTCGCTTCCAATTAGGTTAATGTTGGAGAAACAGGGAAGGAGGGAGGGAGGGAGCAGAGAAAGGGAGAGAGAGGGGGGGGGGAAGAGAGAGAATTTTATCCATTTTCTATGTACCATACATGATTTTATTTTTCCAGTAACAAAGATGTTCAAGGCCCAGGGTAATGTAGATTTCTCTCTTTTGTCCTTGTTTTAGGTCTGCTAGAGTTTTTTTCAAATGTGGCAACCAGAATTACATTCAGTGCTCCAGATGGAGACGCACCACAGAACTGAATAAGGGTATTACAATATTGGCCATTTTCTTTTCAATACCTTCCTAATGATCTCTAGCATGAAATTGCTTTTTTCATAGCTGTTGCGCAGCGAGTTGACATCTTTATAGAGTATCCATTTTCTGTATTTCCTTATTTGGAATAATCAAGATAAGATTGAAAACTTGGATTTTTATTTTTGATTAAGCATAATTTACTGTTATACTAAGTTATACATGTGGTGAATTTTAACCATTATTTGTGTAAATATTCAATTTGACCTGCTTCTGCCAGATGGCTTGGGGCCCCAATGGGGGAGCATCACACTGGAGATAGTTGATGAATTAAGAAACAATCCCACCCCCACTGTGCATCCAGCTCCTTCCTCCCCATCTTTTAACTGTAGTTTTATCTTAATTGTAATTCCATTTTTATCATTTTAAAAATATTTATCTCATGGTTTTATGTTTTTTATGTTGTAAGTCATCCAGAATCACTTTGAAACAAGATGAATGGCAAATAAATTTAATAAACAAACAAACAAACAAACAAACAAACATTCTAGAGCATTATTAACAAACATATTAATTAGTGGTTAATCGTAAATGATAACAGAAACATCAAAATTCCCAATGCTGGAGAAGAAGATGGTACAGAGAAAGTCCAAAGAGAAGAAAATTTCATTTCTATTGTGAGAAAACTTTATTTTACCCTAAATGTTTCTAGTTTTTCTCAAAGAAATGTATCCACACTTGGAAAATTATTAATATTTTAAGGCTCCAAGAACCATAGTCATCCATGCCTAACTCTGCTGAAACCAAAATTCCAAAGCAAGTGTTGTTGCACACTTGACCTCTTTGTGCTTGCATCAAGATGTTACAAGAAAAAAGGTATGAAATTTGTATCATGCTGTTATGATGGGTTTCTTGCCCCATTTGCAGATAAATATGCCAGGGATCCATTATGGATTTTAATCAATGCCTAAAAATGCCCCAATCATCATTCAAAACCTCATGGGTTCCTGCACAAGAACAGAAATCCCATAAGATTTCCAAGATTTTTTTTCTTTCTAGCCCCCGGATGTTTCATTTCTAAACTAGGTAACATCTTCAGTGGGGTATTCAGGTGAAGTGTCTTGTTCACTTGGCCTGGCTGGTCTGTTGGTCTTGTCACTGCGTTACATTGATTTAGAACCAGCATACGAACCAATAAGGAAACGGACCATCCGAATCACCAACCAATGACAGACCCAACCAGCCCCTCATCAGTTGAAATCTGCACCTCATAGCAACCAATCAGAAGTCACAAAGTCACAAGATCAGAATCAGTCTTGTGATTCAACCAGTCACAAGACCAACCAACCATCCAGGACAAACAAATAAGACACTTCACCCCAAAACCCACTGAAGATATTACCTAGTTTGTTAATGAAATGTCCAAGAGCTAAAGAGCAAGCTCAGAGAACAGACCCCTACAATCCGAGCTATGAATATTTTCAACAATTTCTAAACAGAACTACTGTGTTCTAACTATCAGGCCATCTGAATTCAGGACTCCAATGAAATGTTTACACAATCATTCTAGAGAACTATTTCAAAGTTATCATCATATTTTGGGGCATCATATCCATACTGTTTATATCAATTTCAAATGAAGTTTTTAATCAAATGATCATGGTGGTACAGGGTAGATAGATGCTTTTTGAGATGCTGAATGGCATTCCCAGATGTGCCAACTTCTCTGTATTGCAAGGATTTGCCTTATCCCTAATAATATTTTTTTTGTTTAAAAAATATTTGCCATTGTCTCATTTAGTAATAGGACTCTGTTCTTCAGAACCAGTACAAAATCAGTTATTCCAGAAGGAATTATTGTGCTGAGTAGTGGGGTTAGAAAGACAGAGAAAATACAGAAGCTTTCAATATTCCATATGAAGGAGAAATACCCAGACAGCATTATTGGGGGGAGTGAGAAGATAAGTGAATAAAAATGTTTAAAATTTTCATCTGTGAAATATTGGAAGGATAAGTAGTGAGTTAGAGGTATACCTTAATGTCCTGTCTTTTACATTTTAAGAATAGAATATAAAAGAGGAAGAAATAAAATGCTATGAAAATAAATTCAGTTTATATTGCTTTAACTGTTGTTGTTGTTGTTGTTATTGTTGTTTTCCAACAGATTGTCACTTGCCATAACGCTCTCTTGTGTGGTGCTATAAATATTTTAAACAAATAAATGAAATAATAACACAACTCACCGGAAAATAAAGAAGCAGTGATCCAAATAGGATAGTCTCCAGCAGAATAAGTCCTGATGCCCGGATGCTCTAGAACAAAGAAAGCACACACAAGAATTTAAAGCTTTACTTTCTATATTTAAATTAGATAAATCCAAATGTCTATAATCCAGATATTATACTGATAGACCGCTCTACATATTCATTATAGTTTATAATTTTTGGCACCTATCATGCAATCCAATTTACATTTCAATTAATCGAGACAGTGAGTATTGAGATGTAAACTACTTTCAGAGGCACTATGCTTGCTTATAACTAAGTTCCTCACTCTGGGACTTATTTTCTCTTTAATTTGTTTATGCTTGTAGCAATAACTATATTAATATCTTGGCAATAAAATCCAGCATAAACTGATGGATTCCATTTTAAGTAGTTTTCCTAATTAATGCTCAGAGTCTACTCAGTTAGACATCACATCTACAATTTGAAATGATGCAGAAGTAACAATTTCTCCCCAAACCATTCAAAGTCAATATGGATTATGCATTCCCTATTGCTTGAATTTCTGTAATTAACATCATTATACTAGAAGAAATGTTGTTTTTCCAGGACATATCCCACTCTTCTGATTAGGAACTATAATGCTACATTCAGTATACTTTAGAAGTATTCCTGAAATTTGCACTGCATATATGCTTGAGTTTCATTTTCCATGCCAACTTGTATATCTTCTGATTATTTTAATCCTACACACAACACATTAATTATCTCATTAACATTTGGGACAATTAAGGATTCTTAATTGACATGACAGAACTTGCTGAGTTTAAGCAGGGCTTTTAAAGCAACTTGATTACCTTTCTATTGTTTCAACATCCCACTATACTAATCATATAAATAACACATTAACTATCAGACAGTAAATACAATTGGACATTAACATCAAACTACTGAGAGAGGCCATCTGGAACTTTGGAAAGGAGAGTTATCCAGATGCTGGTGACACTCTGCTCTTCTGCTCCTTAGCTTGTAAGTGTAAGGAAGCAATCAGTATTCCTGAATATTGTGCAATTTCAGTAATGAGATGGTTGAGGGAGGAGAAAAAAGGGTGAAAGTAATCCAGACAATGTGGAGGTGCTGTTGGTAAGGAAAAATTGGCCCCTGGAATTAGGCCGAGTCCTGCTCTACATGGGAGCATATTTTTCCATGAGGATCATGTTTGTAGTTTGGAGTGATTCTTAATCTCCACCTGCCACTATATTGGCAAAAAACAGCCATAGGAAGGAGTATATCTGCACAATTACATTGGTGTGTTACACTACTATTTCCAGCAATAATTATACAGTCCTGTATTAACCATTAAGCAACATAAGCATATGCTGAGGGCATCAAGGGAAGAGGGACACCACATAATTTTCCCCCTACCTATTTCCCCTTAACTCTTTCACTACCGTACTTGACTTGACTTGATTTTTTGTAATTGTCCTTCCTTGATTTATTCAGCTTGGATCTGCATTGTAAAAAAATGATGAATGACTAAAGTTTAAAAGGTTTGATGGTATCAACAAATATCACATTTGTTCCCATCTCATGATGTTAGAAATTCACTTCCGCCAAGGGGCACCCTTTCTGGGCTGTACTTAGGGCATCAGTTGGTCTTAATATGGCCCTGCAATTATCTATGCCTTAGTTACAACTTCCTTTGACTCACCTAATGAATGGTACATAGGGCTACGTTTAAAAAGTGCCTGGAAGCTACAGTTGATGAAAAATGCAATGGCTACCTAGTTGAATAATGGAAGGTTCAGAAATGGTGTTGGTACTAAAATATCTAAACTAGCCTCCAAGTGCTTTCTGGGTTTGATATTGCCTTTCAAACATTTAATGGCTCCTGGCCTGACAATCTAAAGAATTGCTCCCACTATGAAGTTCCTCAGGTTTTTCCTCAGAAAAAGCCCTTCTGAAGATCTCCTGATGCCAAGAGGTGCCCATCTTCCATAAGGATCTTCTCCTGCGTGGCTTCCAGACTACTGAATGCACATTCAAGAAGTACTTTTGGCCTTTCAATATTTAAGAAGATGTTAAAGCACATACTTTCTGCCAGGATTTTCCTGATTAATTTTAACCCCAATCTTGATTTACCAATGTTGTTTTGCTGAATGAAGGCAAATATATGTGTCCCAGGATAATGTTGCAGGATCCAATCTGGGTCGGTCACCAGGACCAGAAGTTTTCTCTTCCAAGCTTTTGGACTCCTGCTGGAGCCTTCATCCTCAGGGAACTTCTCTCTAGCAGCTGCTCAGAAAACAAAACTTCTTCGACCCAGATTGGATCCTGCAATGTTGTTTTGTCCATGTTTTGCATTTTAAATCACTCTAAGCCACACTGACTGTTGAAAAAACAAAAAATAGAAATCAAATAAGCAAACAGAGAAATAAAGTCCATTGGACTATGAATCATTTTAGAACAAAGTTAGGCAAACTCTATTACATATTAGAATATCATTTTTGTTGGACCATAATAATAATAATAATAATAATAATAATAATAATAATAATAATAATAATAATAATAATAATAATAATAATAATAAAGTTGGAAGGGACCTTGGAGGTCATCTAGTCCAACCCCCTGCTCAGGCAGGAAACCCTATACCATTTTGGACAAATGGCTGTCCAGTTTCTTCTTAAAAACCTCCAGTGTTGGAGCATTCACCGCTTCTGGAAGCAGGTTGTTCCACTGGTTAATTGTTCTAACTGTCCTTAGTTCTAGGTTGCTTCTCTCCTTGGTTAGTTTCCACCCGTTGCTTCTTGTCCTGCCTTCAGGCGCCTTGGAAAATAGCTTGACTCCCTCTTCTTTGTGGCAGCCCCTGAGATATTGGAAGACTGCTATCATGTCCCCCCTCGTCCTTCTCTTCATTAAACTAGACATACCCAATTCCAGCAACCGTTCCTTATATGTTTTAGCCTCCAGTCCCCTAATCATCTTTGTTGCTCTTCTCTGTACTCTTTCTAAAGTCTCAACATCTTTTTTACATCGCGGTGACCAAAACTGGATGAAATATTCCAAATGTGGCCTTACCAAGGCATTGTAAAGTGGTATTAACACTTCACGTGATCTTGATTCTATCCCTCTGTTAATGCAGCCTAGCACTGCATTAACATAGTCAATATAAGTGAAAGTTCTTGTACAAAAGTTGACTAGACAATAAATATTAATGCTGATGATATTACTATATGTAATATACATTGCAGGGAAACATCCCCTTTCCAAAATACAGCAGCCGCATGAGTGAAGATTCTGTCAATCCAGAAAAATTATTAACCCAAATAACATTTGTGTGATTAATAATAGTTACTGCATGCCCAGAGTTTAGACACTTATAACTGAGGGGCTATTTGATAGCAGTGCATGCTGCGTTTTAGAGCCATTTAGGAGCAAAGATCCATTTTTTTCACTGCAGAAATTTGAACAATGACATATGCATTCAGAGGGTGCTGCCATAATGCAAGTACTGCAACTATAAATGTAGATCCGTTTTCAATAAGTGATTACCTTGCTTTATTGAAAAAATTATCATGAATAAACTAAATGGAAAGGTTGCTTTAGGATGTACAATTCCCTCTCTGGCATATCCTTTAATTCTTTCCACCATTTTGGCTTACAGAGTTGACTAATTTGCAATTCACAGATACTGGCATTTTGAGATACGGAGTGCTGAATTGTCAACATAAGAAACTATTTCTATGGTTTCTCTTGCGCTGCTGCCTTATCCTACATCATCAGGGCAATCAGCATTGGCTAATTCAGTGTAGAAAGCAATGGTGATGGAGGAGAAATAGAAACAGAATGGTTATTCCCAAAGGGTTATTGCACTCATGTTGTAAGCCAGTTATTTCTGCTGGGACTGCTTAACAGCTTCTTGTGCTAGGAAGAAATCTGCATTTCTTCCACCCAGGAGAATCATTAAATATATCTTTGTTGAAATGCCGCAGCTGTCTTTGGGCATTGCCATTTCCCAAAGGCTGACAAACCAAGCAGCTTCATCAGTGCAATGAAGCTTGTCAGAATTGTCAAAATATTTCCATACTGTCTTAACAAATGGCTACACATATGCTAGAAGAAAACCATTAAGGACTGTACATGCACTATACATATAATAATGCAGTTAGGAATAGATTGGCATAAATACGTTTAATGGTTCAAATGTATGTATTGTTATGGAAAAATCAGCGCTGGGGATATTGATTTTAAATTGGAGAAGCCCAAGGAGATGACACTGGAGAAGCAAGGGAATAGATGAGGAAAAGCTTATTTTAAGCTTGGGACAAAGTGAAAGTGTAAGAAAAAGGACAATAATCATGCCTTTCTAATTCATTAGAACAGTGTTACTCAATCCTGCTAAATTTAATATGCCTGGACTTTTAACTCCCAGAACTCCCCAGCCAGGTTGAGGAACACTGCGTTATATATAAAAAGGAGGGAGGGAAGAAAAAACTTAGGCTTTCAAAATTCTCTTACTTGAGCTGTAAATAAAGTATAGTTCTAACTAGAGTACAGGAGTCTGTTTTCTCACCTGGACTTCCTCAAATAGCTTACACAAACACATTCTAAATGTCAGTAGATAACACTATTGTTGTATTAGTTTCTGCTTTTCAGACATCAGATAACAAGGAAGAGAAAGCAATAAAAATCTAATTTATATAGATCTGGTTTCCAGGTATAATTTGCCTTTATTACTTTTGCAGCAAAGGCTTCCTTGGGTGGGGAGTGGGTTGTCAAAAAATTCAAGTTGGCAGACAGAACAAAATGATCAGTACTGCCATTCTGGATTTCGCTTTTCTGAAGATGTCTCTGCTTTGCAGGATCTTTGCAAATAATGTACCAAATTTGTGGGCAGAAAAATTGGATGGCTGAATTCTTTGAATCTCTTCAAGGAAAAAGAGGAGATTCTTCATTGAATATTTCTCAACAAAGGATTCTGCCTAGTGCTCAGTAACTACTGAGACGTTACAAGGACTTCCTTCCAAGAATCTTTTGGATTTAAACTGAAATGCTATAGCCAGACAGGCTCAGGATAGCTGGAG